AAAACAGAAAAATTGGTTCAAGTGGTTTCTATAAAAATACAGATCAGTCCAGAAAGTTTTAAATTTGCATGAAAGATCCAAAATGAAGAAAATCCTTTGGTTTTAGTCCCTGAATAGCTTTAAAAGACTGTTTTATTCTGAAATTTATTGTTAATTTTCTAATACTTTTTGTAAAACCTTTTTAATTTAGAAATAAAAAAAATATTAAAAGAACTACCGTACATTACCGATTCCTCAACCCATACCATCCGTACTATATTTATTCTCTCTCTCTCTCTTCATATTATATTTAATTTTTAATCAACACGTAGCAGAAATAAGAGTTAATAGACTTTCAACTTGACCAATCTTCCTCTTTTCTCCTTGTTGAAGTCGACATATATATATATATAGAGAGAGAGAGAGAGAAAGAAAGAAAGAAAGAAAGAGAGAGAGAGATAGAGAGAGATTGAGAGAGAGAGAGAGAGAGCGTGTGTGTGTGTATTAGTGTGATGACGGCGGCTATGACTGCATCATATGAAGGAGTCCTTGTTTTGGTGGATTCTTATAGGGATGAAAAGTATGTAGCATAAAAAATCAACCAAGATGTTAACAACTGAAACCAAAAAATATTCATAGCTAACATGTTTACTTGGTACTAGTAATCAATTTAGTAAACATGGTACATAAAATTCCAAAGTTACCAATACCACGGTAGTATATAGTTGGTGTATATTTATGTTGAAGTATATACTTACATAAAGTGTGAATGTATAGAACTATACATAATATATTATCATTATTAGTTGTCATAAGAAGATTTTATTTTTTGAAATATTCATGTGAATCTATTTATGGTGTTAAATATTGTGCACAACACTATTCAAAGCTATTTATAGTATTTTCATTTCGGTCGGTTCTCTACATTCTACCATTGATCATAGATCAACGGTGATAAAAAAAATGTAACGTTTCTCAAAGAAACACATTATTCTTGCTTTTTTTATGTTAATTAATAAAATGACATAACTATAGTCCGTAGTCAAATGAATCGTTAATAATCGAAATATATTTCAAATGTCATGTCTTTCGCATGATATTTAACCCAAAAGAAATTTAGTAACACGCTTTCTAAATTAAATTGAAAAATTGGTCACTATGGTTTCTATGAAACTATGGATAAGGTCCAAAAAGTTTTCAGCTTTAGAAGACTGTTGTATTCTTTAATTTCTTTTCCATTTTCTTATAATTTTGGTAATACCTTTTTAATTTGAGATAATAAAAAATTAAAAGAACTACCCTACCTTCCCATTCCTCAACCCATACCCAACCTATTATCTTTATTCTCTCTCTCTATGTATTATCTTTAATGGTTGATCAACATAGAGCAGAAAAAAGAGTTAGTAGACTTTCAACTTGACTAATCTTCCTCTTTTCTCCTTGTTGTAGTCGACAAATATATATATATATATATATATATATATATATATATATATATATGTGTGTGTGTGTGTGTGTGTATGTACGTGTGTGTGTGTATATATATATATAAAGAGAGAGATGGAGAGAGAGAGAGAGAACGAGAGCGAGAGAGAGAGGGAGAAAGAGAGAGAGTGTGTGCGTGTGTGTGTGTATTAGTATGATGAGGGCAGGTATAATTGTCTCAGATGAACGAGTCCTTGTTTTGGTAGTTTCTTATAGGGCTGACAAATATATAACATAAAAAATCAACCAACATGTTAAGAACTTAAACCAAAAAATATTCATATCTAACATGTTTAATTGGTACTAATAACCAATTAAGTAATCATGGTACACAACACTCCAAAGCTTCCAACACCACGGTAATATATAGTTGGTGTATATTTATGTTGAAGTATATCCTTACATAAAATGTGAATATATATAATTATATATAATATATTGTCATTATAAGTTGTCAAAAGAAGTTTTTATTTTTACAAACATTCATGTGAGTTTATTTATGGTGTTAAATGGTGTGAACAACACTATTCAAAACTATTTATAGTATTGTCATTTCGGTGGGTTCTCTACATTCTACCATTGATGATGGATGAATGGTCAAAAAAAATGTAAAGTCTCTCAAAGCAACACATTATTCTTATTTTTTTAGATGTTAATTAGTAAAATTACATAACTATAGATTGTAGTCACATGAATCGTAATGAATAAAGATATATTTTAAATGTAATGTCTTTGGCATGATATTTAACCCTAAGGAAATTTACTAGTACTCTTTATAGATAAAACTGAAAAATGGGTTCCTATGGTTTCTATAAAAATACGGATCGGTCCAGAAAGTTTGCAACTTGCATGAAACATCCAAAATGAAGAAAACCCTTGGTTTTGGTCCCTAAATAGCTTTCAAAGACTGTTTTATTCTAAGATTTCTTTTTAATTTTCTAATAATTTTTGTAAAACCTTTTTAATTTAGAAATAATAAAATATTAAAAGAACTACCCTACCTTACCGATTCCTCAGCCCATACCATCCGTATTAAATTGATTCTCTCTTTCCATATTATGTTTAATTTTTTATCAATATAGAGCAGAAATAAGAGTTGCTAGACTTTCAACTTGACCAATCTTCCTCTTTTCTCCTTGTTGAAGTCGACATACATATATATACATATATATATATAGAGAGAGAGAGAGGGAGAGAGAGAGAGAGAGAGAGTGTGTGTGTGTGTGTATTAGTGTGATGAGGGCGGCTATGACTGCATCAGATGAATGAGTCCTTGTTTTGGTGGTTTCTTATAGGGATGAAAAGTACATACCATAAAAAATCAACATGTTAACAACTGAAACCAAAATATATTCATAACTAACATGTTTACTTGGTACTTGTAATCAATTTAGTAAACATGGTACATAGCACTTCAAAGTTTCCAATACCACTTTAATATATAGTTGGTGTATATTTGTGTTGAAGTATATACTTACATAAAGTTTTAATGTAAATAAATATATATAATATATTGTCATTATTAGCTATCAAAAGAAGATTTTCTTTTTACAAATATTCATGTGAGTCTATTTATAGTGTTAAATGGTGTGAAGAACACTATTCAAAGCTATTTATAGTATTGTCATATCGGTCGGTTCTCTACATTCTACCATTGATCATAGATCAGCGGTGATAAAAAATGTAATTTCTCTCAAAGCAACACATTATTCTTACTTTTTTGAGATGTTAATTAATAAAATGACATAACTATATTCCGTAGTCACATGAATCGTAATTGTCACATCCCGATTTCTCCACTACCAAAACAGTCATGATCGGTACTCGATCCGGAAGCTTGATTGATTAGTTGGGCTGGTGTTTTGCAGTTTTGAGCGAGGTGGCCCTTCATGCCATATCTGATGCAAATCTTCTCACGGCATGGGCTAGGAATACGATGGTGATAATTGCACCTATTGCACCAAGGAAGACTACCAGCATACCTAGTGGTAGGTGCTTGAGCTGTAAAAGTAGCAACAAGAGTAGTGGTAGCTTGAACTGCCACAGTTTCATGCCTCTTGGAGGGTCCATGTGAACTCTGACCCTTTTGCTTTTTGCAGATAACCATCTTCCTCTTATCACACTCATTCTGATGCTCGTGAACATTTTCATGGTTTTGGGGGTAGGTGTTACTTCTTGGTCCACCGAACCTGTCAGGGTACAATAGCGTCATTGTAGCCGTTACTGCAGTAGAGACAGCCAACTGGAACATCACAGGGTCGAATTGAGAAGGAGGTGGTGACGGAGGGTTGTTACTCCTTGAGCTGGGTCCTTTCTTTGGAGACATTTCGATCTAAAATGATTAGGAAAAAGAGGATGGTAAGTCCTCTGAATCAAATCAAGAGATATGAAACAAGGGATATCTCTTTATGACCGATATATAATTCTATTAAGCGATAAAGTAGGAATGAGTTATCAAGGCAAATAAACTATCGCTAAAGAAATGATCAAGCGACAACGCTTGAATGAGAATTTTCTACAACAAAGTTGGATCTAGAAATACTCCCATAGTATTTCATGATTTGCTGCGACGATGGCTCGTTGTTTGCGGTATTTTGGTAAGTTTTAGGCATGCTGAACACCACAGTCACTCCCAGGCACATGTTGGTCGTGTCTCGAATGAATATAGTTGATCAGGCTATATTGACCCTAGACACGACTACATAACTGCCCAGGTTTAACCGCAACGTACAACACCCATTTACTTATGTTTTATTCTACCTGTAGTTACGGATCTCGGCGGTTAGGTATACTTGTATGTTTTTTAAAATACTTATATTTTGAAGTATACTTTTAGTTCAGAGCACTTAGGCCCCTTTAATGTTTATAGTCTTATACCATGTAAGGTTTGGTATACTTAGTTCACTATAAACAAGGGCTCTGATACCAATCTGTCACACCCCACTACTAGAAAAACAGCCTTTTACGACGCTCATTGCGCGTCGTAAAAGGCTCAGACGATGCACAAATGCACGTCAAGGAAGGCCCTGTCATAAAGAGAGACGACGCACTTTTGCACGTCGTCTATAGACGACGTGCATTTACGACGCTCGTTTACGATGCGCAATTACGACGCGCGTTTACAACACGCAATATGTATCAAGGAAGGCCCTATCATAAAGGAAGACGACACGCATTCGCGTGTCGTAACCTTACAACGCGCGTGTTAATGACACACAATGCGTATCAAGAAAGCCCCTGTCAAGAAAGCCCATGTCATAAATGAAGATGACACACATTTTTTCGTATCGTAAATTTAAATGTTTAAGAAAATATATATATATATTTATTAGTTTTTAAATTAAATTTTCATTTAATGTCTCATAATATAAATAAAATACCATATACAAAAAATACAATCCATTGCATAAAATTTAATGTCATATAATTTTATTTCTTACAATATATAAATGTACATTCATATAATCTACTATGTGTTTCACACTAACAATTGAATTGAAGAATCCAACACTTGCATTTGCAGCATCTTATCTCTTTCAGCTTAAGCTTTCTTTTCCTCTTCTAACTTCAGAGCTATTCGCTTTCATCAACCCTGTAAGAACAACACAATAAATAATGATATGATTTCCTTCAATGTGGAGACATCCTTACATGCTCTTTCCTCCAAATCTATGCCAACTTTGATATTTCCATTGGCATGATCCGCATATAGAGTAGATTTGATCTCCATAGCATTAAGCCCAGCATTCTCAGCTAATGTTTTTGGTATCATTTGAAAGCTCTCTGCAAATTTTCCAATTGGATACTGATCTAATCTGCATCATATCAATCATCAATCAAAAAACAAATTTAGTAAAACAAAAACTAATCATTCAGATTACCTACCCTGTCTCCGAGAAAGAAAACTCCTTCAGTTTTCTTGCTAATTCAATTTCAGTGGTTGCAGCTCTAGGCACAATTCTACTGTCCTTGCATAACGCCTAAAAAAATTACAAGGAATAAAAGTATAATTTATCCAAACAGTAATGCATTTTATCTTTTTACTAAACACAAAAACAATAAGCAACAAAATTATTAACTCTGACTTTAGGTTTTTCCTAAAAAAATTTCCTTTCATTTCCCAAACTGCCCTCTCATTGTTTTTGGTGAAAGAAAAAAGAAGGTCCAGATTACCTACAGTATCACCCTTTAAGACCATTCCTCTAACTGTTGTGCAGTTATGTAGACCTCCTCCTACAAGTTTTGCAACTCTCACATTAGAGAGAGAGAGAGAGAGAGAGAGAGAGAGAGAGACATACCCACATAACCAAGCTCTCTTGGCCTTTTGGGTATCCACTGTTGATTGGTTTTCTTCTGGAAAGAAGCTTAAGTAGAACAACTCCAAATGCATACACATCAATCTTGTCAGTTACTTTTCCATACATGAAATACTCAGGAGCTAAATAACTCCACAATGGCATTTCTGTAAATTTGGCTATAAAGAAAATACAATAAGAATTGAAGTTGATAAAGTTATAGTTTACAAACCTGAAAGTTCATGCAACAACTGTGCAAGTTATGAGATGAGGTGGTTAAACCCCAATTTGCAAGCCCAAGAAAATATTTCTTGCCTTGTTTGCGAAGCTCTTTCCTATGTAGCAAGTCTCCCCTTGCATCTACAATAAAATATATCAGTTCTTGCTAATTAAACTTATATTAGAGAGAGAGAGAGGGAGATTTTAGTGGTGTTTTCATCTTGCATTTCAGAAGGCAGAACACGAAAAATTCCTCTGAGATATTTTCTCTTCTCTCTTTACTATACAATGATATAGTGCCATAAAACGGATCTACAATAGAAATTCTACTGGTATCATATTTAAAAACATAAAAAGGAAGTTATCTTACAAACAGTTCTTGCTAATTTGGGGATGTTATAAGATTGTGATATTAAAAGTGCAGTAGTAGGCATCAAATGAAATGTACTGTAAATGAGGGAGAGAAACCACCTCTCGAAAGTAGTCAATTATTGAAATGTACTATTTCCTTTAAGGTTTTCAAGGATAAAATTGACATTTCTCAATGTTTAGGTATCACTTACCAAATAAAAGCATTTCCGCAGACTAGAGCAATGCATGCATTCCATCGTACACAACAACATTTGACAGTTTATAAGATAGAAGGTAACCAATTAAGGTTGTAATGTTATTTTTCTTTATTTTTGAAATATGAAAGGAAATGGGAATAGATCTTACGTTTAGAAGGTATCACAGATCTGTTAAATTGTCGGCTTAAGCCCACCGCAAAGTTGCACATAACAATGAATTCCTGCCATGAAAAAACGTTATTTAATAAGATACAACTTAATAAGATGCGATGATAACTAAAAGTGATTAAGTACATACTTGAACTTCCCCTATTCATTTTGGAAGAATTTTTTCCATTTCAAGTGATAGAAGCCTACCAAGGTACTGAAGCTTGGTTCTTTGTGGATCACCAATCTGTCTAACAATCTCGCCTCGCTTTGGTGCAAGAAGTTGAGAGAAAAAAATAATTACACATGAGAACTATAAAACAACAAATTAAGGAAAATACTAATTAAGTTATTGATATTTAAACCATATCATTTCCATAAGCATTGCAAAACTAGAAAAATACTAAATAAGTTAGCCAATGAATGGCTAATCTCACCTTCAAGGCCACATAATCTCATATCAAGCTCTCTGACATGACCTGTTTTGTTGTTGCACATGACTCATGTCCACTTACAGCAGTCACCCTCTTCAGCTCTCCATGTATAGAGACAACAAGAGGGATCTTGGAGGGAAGCTTTGAAATGAAGGAAAGCATCTGTCTCCTTATCTAAACACTTCTTCATAACACCATTATATATATAAAACTATAAACACTAAAGGGCCTCAGTGCTCTGATACCAATCTGTCACACCCCGAAAATCAAAGGCAGAAACATTTCCGGGGTGGACTACCACGTTGTGTATCAAATCCAATGTACATAGTAATCACAGTAAACAACCATTACATTATATATATATATATATATATATATATATATATATATATATATATGTGTGTGTGAAAGTTTACATTTGTTTCAAAAGTAAAGTTATACAAAATATACATATGCATCATATTAACAAAAGTTGAGACGAGTCTTCCAAGCACTCCGTCTTCACCAAAAAGAGATCATCGGGTACCTGTCTAACTTGGACCTGAGAATACAAGTGGTTTGAAAATCAGCATAAAGCTGGTGAGTTCATAAGCGGTTTTGTTTTATGAAAATGTATCGGTTTTCTTTAGTTTCCGAAAAGGTTTGTTATCCAAAAAAATCCTATATTTTCTTATGTGAAGTTGGTTTAGTTATCATCTGTTACCAATTCGATTACGTGTTGTGTTTTACCCCAGGAAAATCCCATATTTTCCTAATTGTAAGAGCATTTGTATATCACAAAGTATAGTTTAATACACAAAACTATATGATGAAAATCTTGGGATCACTATCCCGAAAGAGATATAAGATAGTTTGACACACATGAAAGTACAGATTTAAGATCCTGGGACTACCATCCCGGACTAGACACGAGATAATTTGATATATATGGAAATATAGATTGAAAACCATGGGATCACTATCCCGGACAAGATATAGATTTAGACCATGGGATTATCATCCCGTACTTAATATAAATTGAATTCATGGGATTACTATCCCATAATAGATATAGTTAAAGACCATGGGGAAAAACCTCCCGTACAAGTTATAGATACAAAACCATGGGATCCCTATCCCGGACAAGATATAAAATAGTTTGATAATACCATGGGATCACTATCTCGAAAGAGATATAGATTCTAAAACCCGTACTATGAATAAACTAATATTAATACATGTTGTGAGTCGGGTAACCATGTTAATACGACAACGAGACCTCCTTGACGTTTGTCAGACGTTAAAACGATATCCAGAAATTTGTCACCCCAGGCGTGCCCGCCTAACTGTAGCTAGCAGTTAAGGTGTGGGATTGTCAGTCCCGAATAGATCTATTCACAAATTCCGCGCTCTCCCTCCAGGAGACTCTGGTTACACTTCCGGGGAGGATTTACTGATCATCCATAAAGGGTAGTGACTATCTCACAAACTAGTACTAAACTATTCACAAGGTTTCCATACGATATCGACATACAGAAGATTATGAAACATAGTACAGTGAATATAGATACATACAATGAAATTATCTGACAATACATTCAAATGATACAGAGATAAACTGAATCAGACATAGTTTATCTAATAACTCTATATAAATATCAGTACATGATAGAAAGAACAGTAAAGACCCTCAAATTATTCCCATAATAATTTGATTAGTTTGGTTGTTTCCTTAACTAAAATTTCATTTAGTTGTAGTTGATAAGTCATTCCTTATGTTATGATTTGAAAACAGTTATAGTTTGCTTGTATTCCCCCCCTGAAAACATTGAAAACAGTGAAAAGGGCGTAGGGGTATGAACTCACCGGACGAGAAATGTGACGATTTGGATGCTAAGAGTTGATCTGGGGCTTGTAAACACACGAGGTTCCTAATTATGATGTAAAGATACACATTTGTATCTAATTAGGACTTAGATTGATTGTTGGATAGGGACAATTGTTTCTAGTCGCGAAAACACTCTGATACAAGTGTTTGGAAGGACCCGGGTGGCGTTTAAGGACATGTAATGATGCGAGGGACTTAGGAAATGAGTTTACTCCTCAAGAGTACACTTCTAAATGGTGTTTACGGTCAAAACACCCATTCCCCATGAGTTTACGGCCGTAAACTCATGATGGTTGGTTTATGGTGCAATTTGGACTTCAAACACTTAGGGGACAATTTCGTGAGTTGGTTTAAGGGTTTGGAATAAGTTTAAAACACCAAAATGATACATTTTAGGGAGTTTATGGCCTAGCATGGTCTCATGGCCGTAAACTCCTATAAACCCATGAAAAGTTGTGTTTTTGGATTCCAAACTAATCACATGTGATTACTAAAATTGTATCAAAGCCTTTCATGCATTTGTTTGAAGTTTTGAAGTGGTTTTTGGAGTTTACGGCCAATGAGACCCCTCTCATGGCCATAAACTCTCATAGAGAGTAAATCCTCATGTTTTAATGCCAAAAACTTGTTTGTAAGGACTTCTAAAATTCAATCCAAGGCTTTAGGGTTGGTTTAAGGACAATTTGGCATGTATTTATGAGTTTATGGCCAAAGGCTATGTTCTTAGGCTGTAAACTCCTATATGTAATGCATTTGATGTGTTTAAGGTCCTCAAACTATTTTTGGTTGGTCCTTTGATTTATTCCAAAGCTTTTGGTGGTGTTGGATGGCTTTCAAACACCCTAGAAATGGATTTGCACCATGTTTCATGGAGTTTACGGCCCAAGCACAAGCCATGGCCATAAACTCACAATAATCCCCCAAAAATTGATGTTTCAAGTGTCCAAATGATAATACCAATATTCTACAAGTCATATCTAAGCCTTGTTTGTGATTTAGAAGGGTTTAAGGGCATGAAAACCCCATATATATGAGTTTACGGCCCAAGAATGAGCCTTGGCCATAAACTCCTTTAAATGCCTCAAAACTCATGTTTTAAATGTTATATGTCCATTCCATTAAGCCATATCTAAAGTCCAATAGTGCTTAGGAGGGGTTTTAGGGCTTAAAACCCCACTTATTATGTGTTTACGGCCCATGAATGCTCCATGGGCATAAACTCATGAATGTGGTCACAAATTATGTTTTGAACTTGAATTTGAAAGCTAAGAAGGTTACATAACAAGCTAGGGAAAGTACCTTAGAGATTTGAGGCCTTAAATTTGAGTTTTTGGACCCTTAAACTTGGATTTAGGAGAGAGGTTAGAGAGAGAGTAGAGAGAGAGGGAAAAATCTTCAAATGGGTGCTAAAACACGTTTATATAGGTCTTAAAACTTGTACGCGGTGGAATTCTACCTGATATCAACGTTAAACGCGGATTTTGGTCGCACCCGATTAAGTTACCGTCACCCGGCGGGGACGTTTCTAAAACTTATGAAATAAATATTTTGGGCTAATTACATGAGTTCCTGAGTGATTTAGACACTCATTAAATTATAATAAACATATAAGTTTTTAAATAATTAACCCAAAGTGAAAACGGAACGAATTTGATAACAGCGACTTTTTCGGGTAGAACGGGTTTTGTCGACGAACAATTTCGGGTTGTTACAATTATATATAAATAATTTGTTCATAAATTTTAACGCAGACTCGCTGCTGCCAGGTCTTCCTGGGAAAACAATTTCTGCAACAAGGAAACAACATTAATATTAGAATGCCTTATAAAATGAAAGGTTAGATTGAGTAAGCAGATGGAAAGAGTATATGACTTTCATCATGGAAGCTTTGACCCTCATAGTATAAATGCTTCAAAGAGCCTTCATGCTCACATATTCTGACTTGAGCATGCTTTCCTGACAAACCATTGAACTCAGGCAATTGCCAATGTGGATTATCTGAGGTAGACAAAAAGCCCATTTCAGAAACAGGAGCAGGAACTGAAACACTAGCATCCAGGTTCCCTAGGAAACCATCAGACGATTTGTCCAAGTTGGGACTTAGATCATTGTTGGTGGTGTAATCATGCCTGGGAATCAGGTGTGGCATAACATGACCTAACTCCATGAAAGGAGCTTCATCTGGTGTATCCTTCACTCGAACTAGCAAATCTGCCCCGAAAAATCCTTACTCAAACCATGATATGATATCTACCCCATGAAATGGTCCCTGAATCTAATATTAATGCTTTCATATACATGTTCCCATTCTTGCCAATTGGTTGGCATTTGCAGTTACAAGGAGTAGCACGAGAAGTGATAAAACTATGAAAACACAAGGATGCAAATCTTAGTGATTTTTGGATTGTATTGATGCTTTAATTATAACAATCATCCAAACAGCTCCTTAATACTTTAATTATAACACAAAAGTCGCAAAACGCTCATCCAAACACCACCTTATACTAATCGACTTCCTCCTCAATACTTTAATTATAATAATCAAAATAAAGTAGTCCCCACATGTATAAATTCCCTATTCTCATCAAAGTTTGAAATTCAAGGACAATCAAGATAAATGGCAACTTCTCTAAAGATTTTCACCATACCTTAAAGTACAGATGATGCATTCTCTTTTTCTTAATTTGCCAACTTCCTGAAAAATGTTTTACGATTACAACAGAAACAAATAGATTCAGATGGTGATTTTCTTATTCTACTTCAGATTCAAAACCTATATGACATCCCATCTAAGATTAGTTATTATTTGCAATTTTTACATCAATCATTATTCCCATTTCCCAACAACTAGCAAACATACAATAAGTTCACATTAAACTTACCTCTTATGTCAAATTCTTGTTCTCTCTGCAATTTATAAGATATAAAATTTAGATTGATTAGGGTTCACTTTTTTATGAATAAAAGATTGCTGATGAAAGTTTAAAAAAAATCACTCACCTATATGGAATGTGCCGATGAGTTGAAGAGTCTATATTTCTTGGCTAGCCCGAAATCAATAGCATAGACGTGTAACATGTAGGTTTATATATATTTTATGTATAAAACTATAAAAAAAACAAAATGTACAATGGAAATATGGAACAAATTATGGAATGAAACCTGATTAGCACGCCTCCCTAAACTCATAAGGAAGTTGTCTGGCTTTATATCCCTATGCAGAAATGATTTACAGTGAATAAATTCAACTCGGTTGATCTACAACATATATAATCATATAAAAAACTTTTCCACTTACCAAGAGAAGGTGGCTTCAGTTCCCCTGAAACGTATTTTCCGATAACACCCCCACACCTACATATGTTAATTAAGTAAGAAAAGGTAATAGTCATGAAAACACACAAAAAGAACTTTCCTTTCATGGTGTCTAGATGGTGAAAAAGAAGAAGAAGAAGATTGAACATCTGTAGGGATCTTTTCATTTCCCTCCCCCTGTTTCAAAAATAAATAAATAAAATGTACCAGGACCTTCTATTTTCTTTATGGCTCATAATTATGTGAAATTATAAAGTGTAAAATTTCACTATATTGACACACCTGCAATAGAAGCTTGAGGACTTCATAAACATTTTTAATATTATATTTTGTAAGATTTTGAACAAAAATCAATAACTTAATAGTTTCAATCCATACTGCAATATTTACTTTAACACTTTTTTTGCTAATTTCTTCAAGGCTTTATATAAATCTACTTATTATTAAATTACATAAGAATTATTTATGACTGTTGTTCAAAATAACCCCTTGTAGAAGAACCCACTTAAAATTACATCCTCAACTTTATATCCCAATTCCTTATTATACTATTAAGATTCATATCTGTAACATTTTTTATATAAAGATTTAACAGTTTAAAGTTCAAAAAAAATGTGATTAGCTTAAATAGTTAGCAACTCTACAGTAACATATCACAGATGTGACCGTATTGCTAGAATACTTAGCAACTCTGTGGGGATGTCATTTCTTTACTAAGTTAAGTGAGAAGAAAAAAATCAGAGATATCCAAAAATTTAAGATCATACCTGTTGTCTATGTCACTCTTTAGTAACAAAATGTCAAGTAAAGTGCTTAAAAATGTGAGCTTGCTGCATCAGGTATGGCCCGCATCATCAGGTTTCAAATGGGTTGTTACTTTCTTTTTCTTTTTTCCTTGTGGGGTACCAGTTAATGGACTTGACTTTTCCAAAACGTAATCAAGCATGTGCTGTACCATTGATGTGGAAACCTGTTTATAGCTTAGTAATTCATATTTGACCCAAGATGGATGTACATGATTCCTGAAATAAAGTTAAGCTCCATGATTCCTGAGATGAAACCTAATCATTTTGAAATTCCAAACCAGCTGTAGACTTTGTTGTAGCTATAATACTAATGTTACCTTATTACATCATTATAAAGTTTTATTACAACTTTCAAATTTTTCTACATTAAATGAAGAATTCAATCTGTTGTTTTAATGTTGACACTTGAGAGTATGTCTAAGCTCCCTATTTTGAGGACATCAATACAGAGAGTCGAATGGAATAATTAATGCAAAGATGTATTGCAACAACCTTTATACTCTCAGAGTTGTACTCCATCTCTAACATCATACTCTCATTATTTCCCTATTTAGAAGAAGAGAATGGGCAAAATTATCCCATGGAGAATCAAAGCAACCCATAGGAGTATTGCCACCATAACAAGGAGAAGGTAATCATACATCAGATGAAGCACAAAGTAACATTGGTGATGGTAAAGGTATGGAAATAAAACAGAAAAAAAAAAAAAACAAAAACCCTAACCAACCTTGGTCGTTGAGATGATGGGGGAGCTTTTCCCTTTACGCAAAACCCTCCATGGTATCAAGCTCAATCTCTGTAGCCCTACGATTTGCCATGTCCAAATCTCTCTCGTCCTCCAGAGAATCGTCCAACCCAACCGACCTTCATAGCTATTTCTGTTGATTTCCAACTCGATATCATAAATTATGTTTCGACATGAGAGTGTGGGGAGGTTTCAAGAAGAACGGGCTAGAAGCAACAACGCAAAAGATAACATTAGGTATCGAGGGCTAATCGAGTTCGATTAAAAAGGTTATAAAACTCGTAATAAAGGAAGATGAACCTCTGGAACAAATAAAGAAGTAGAATTTTGATGGTGATTGACCATGGAGTTTCGAGACCTTGACTGTAATGGAGCTACTGTTCTACTTGATATGGAAATCACTCTAAATTTGTAGTTATGATACAGCTCTTCTATTGATTGAGAGGCTGAAAAAGTACTTGAGGAACTGAAGATCGAGGGAAGTAAATGAAGGGTTTTTGAACTGAAACCCTAGTTCCAAAAATAGTCATGGTTCCAAAATATGTACCCCTTTGATCAATTTCATGGCCTGGTGACCAAAAAACCTTCGATTTCACTAAGAATCGGAACCCTAGTTCCAACAATAGTCGATTTTTGGTATTTGATTGAGAGAGAGAGAGAGAGAGAGAGAAAATAATGATTGAAAGAAGGTAGAGGAGAGCATGGCAGCTTTTCAAACTTTTGGAATTTCATTTTCCCGCGAGCTTCTAAAACACGTGTTTATGAAAAAAAAAATATAAAGCGACGTGCGCACACAATACACATTTTATCATATGCGCCCTCCGTGTTTTTTTTTGGACAGTGATTTAAGGGCATGCGCAAATGCGTGTATTCTATTCTTCAAATTTTATAAGAGGTGACATTATTTGTAGGATGCTCGCTTTTGCGTATCGTAAATCACTGCGCACGCGCAAATGCGTGTATTCTATTCTTCAAATTTTATAAGAGATGACATTATTTGTAGGATGCTCGCTTATGCGTATCGTAAATCACTGTGTGTCATTGTTTGCGCGTCATTAAATACTGTTTTTCTAGTAGTGCCCGAAACCCAGGGCGGAAACGTTCCGGGGCGGAGGAGACTTTATGTTGAATATCATAACCAAGGTACATAGTAAGCGAAGTAAACACAAAACATTACATTACATAGTTTTCATTACATCTGTTTAAAAGTAAAGTGATACAAGTTTCATAGATACATAAGTTTAAACAAAAGTAAGACATGACTCCATACGCTCCGTCTTCTGCAAAAGAATGCTGGAATACCTGTCTAAGGAGAACCTAAGAATACAAGCAGTTTAAAAATCAGCATAAAGCTGGTGAGTTCCTAAGCGGTTTGTTTTATGAAAATGAACAAGATTCCTTTTGTTTTCTGAAAATGTGGTTATCCAAGAAAATCCCATATTTTCTTAAAAGTAATGTTTAGTTTTCCGTTATGTTACACAATTCTGGTTATGAATAGTTATTACCCCAGGAAAATCCTATATTTTCCTAAAAGTTGGTTACCAATCCGAAATGTAATGTAAAAGATGTATACTGAAAACCTGATTATCCTTGTGAAGTGTATGTTAGTTTTAACACGTATATAAAACTATCAACATAGTAAACTAATTTCAAAGGTTATTAATTTACTATATTCATTATTACTAACAAGGAAGGCCAATATCATTTATGACTTTTGTCACCCTTGAACCTTTTCGTTCGGCTATAACTAGCAGCCAGGTGCTGGGTAGTCAGCCCCGTATAGATCTATACACTTAAGTCATGTTCCCTATCTAAGAGATTTTGGTTACAGAGGCAGTCCTCCACTCACGTATCTCTGTGGAGTGTTCTCCGAGGATGTGTCTTCAATTTATAGGAATAACAAATCTACAAGTAATAATGCGGAAAAATCCTGTTTAAATTCTATTTACAAAGACGATCCTCCACTCGCGTATCTCTGTGGAGTGTTACCGAGGACAAAACAAATGTACTAATCTAGTGCTTTTAACAATAAATAAGTGGAAAATCATTCGTGAAATATATAATATAACATTATATAATAAGATATGAAATCAGTTTGTAAACTAACTCTGCAAGTTAAACGGTTGGTTAATACGGTTTCAATTGTTAAAAGCAAGTGGAATATGAAACATTTCAATCGAAATAATAAGTTTAAGCACAAGATATTCTTGTACTTTTGCTTGTATTCCCCCCTGAAAACATTAAAAAAACATTGAAAAAAGGTAGGGGTATGAACTCACCGGATGAGGAATGTGTCGACTAGGATGCTAAACGTCGGATCGTGGGTTGAAAACGTGCAAGGTTCCTATATAATATTAAATGATACAAAAATATATCTAATTAGACTTTAAATCACTAATTAGATAAGCTTATACACTCCAAGACGCGAAAACACTTTAATTAAGTGTTAGGAGTGGTCCGGGTAGCATCTAAGGGTGTGTAGGACCTAGATAAAGAGTTTACTCTTCAAAAGTAAGTCCTTATGGGAGTTTACGGTCCTATGAACATATTCCCATGAGTATACGGCCATAAACGCATGGGTGGTGTGTTCTTGGATGCTAAATGGTCTTAAAATGCACAAAGGAAAGTTCTAGGGTTGATTTTATGGCTTAGGAAGTGATCGGGACTTGAAAGGGCCTTGGAAAAGCAGTTTATGGTTTACAAAGATGTTTTGGGGAGTTTACTACCTTAAACTCATGTTTGTGCATGAATCATGCGTTTTTTTGGTTGTAGGTTAATCACATGTGATTCTAGTCCAACAAACATGCCATTTAAGGTGTTAAGGGCACTTTAACACCCTTTGGGGGTGTTTATGGTCTAAGAAGATGTGTTTATGGTCCAAGAATGTTCTTGGGCCGTAAACTCAAGTTTGACTCATTTACATATGTTTTGGTGCATCACATGAAGGATTATAAGGTTCTACACTATCATTGAAGCATTTGGAGATGTTTAGGGGAATTATGACACTTTAAAAGGAGTTTATGGTCCATGCATGTGGTTTTACGTCCCAAGCATGTTCTTGGACCATAAACTCATGTCCAATACTCAAATGGCACGATTTTGGGGTCCTAAGCTCATGCATGCAAGTTTCTAAGCCATATCTAAGCACTAGTAAGGGTTTGGAGGGGTTTTGGGGCTTCAAAACCCTCTCAAGGGGTGTTCACGGTTTTGGGAGGGTCCCCAAACCGTAAACACATGTTCATGGGTGTTTTTGGAAGTTTCAAACATGAATTTTCATGCCAATCAGGTTAAACAAGCTAGGATGGAGTACTTACCAAATTAAGGCATGAAATGGGGTTTTTGGGTCAATTTCGAATTCTAGAGAGAGAGTAGTGAGAGAAAGTTTTTTGAGAGAGAGAAAAAGCTTCAAAATGATGTCACTCAATCCCTTATATAGGGGTTGAGTTTATGGCCCGGTGCAATTCTACCCGATACTGCCGTTAGACGGTGCTTTTGGTCGTACCCGATAAATTGTCGTAATCACGACTTAGATGAAACTAATAAATTTCCAAATAAAAATGGAAAATATTTTAATGTTTATAATGCATCCCGACACTTATGAAACTGAATTAAAAGTTGCGATTAAATTAATTTAATTCTAATATTAACAGGACAATTTGAATACGAACGGTTTTATTTAACGGAAACGATTTATAGTTACGGAATAAATTACGGGTTGTCACAGTATTGAATCGAGATATATTTCAAATGTCTTATCTTTCGCGTGATATTTAACCCTAAAGAAATTTAGTAATACTCTTTATAGATAAAACTAGAAAAATGGACCCCGTGGTTTCTATAAAAATATGGATAGGTCCAAAAAGTTTTCAACTTGCATGAAAGATCCAAAATGAAGAAAATCCCTTGGTTTTAGTCTCTGGACAACTTTAAAAGATTGTTTTATTTTTTAATTATTTTCCAGTTTCTTATAATTTTGGTAATACCTTGTTAATTTGGAAACAGTAAAAAAATTAAAAGAACTACCCTACCTTACCCATTCCTCAACCCGTACCCTCCCTATTATCTTTATTCTCTCTCTCTCTATCTCTCTCTCTCTCTCCTTTTTGAAGTTGACATATATATACATATATATATAGAGAGAGAGAGAGAGAGGTAGAGAGATAGAGAGAGATTGAGTGTGAGAGAGAGAGAGAGAGATGGAGAGAGAGAGAGTGTGTGTGTGTGTGTATTCGAGTGATGAAGTCTATGACACCCCAAAACCGGAACGGCGGAAACCTTCTGGGGTGGATGACATCATGTCAAGTATCACAACACATGCATTATAGTAACCAAAGTACAACAACACATTGCATTAATAGTAATAGTTTTACATTGTTTACATTACAATATATCAGAGTAATACAAGTA